TAGTAACAAGTGCCTTACTAGTAGTAACAAGAAGCTATTTGTAACAAGTGCATCGCTACTAGTAACAAGTGCCTTACTAGTAGTAACAAGAAGCTATTTGTAACAAGTGCATCGCTACTAGTAACAAGTGCCTTACTAGTAGTAACAAGAAGCTATTAGTAACAAGTGCCTTACTAGTAGTAACAAGAAGCTATTAGTAACAAGTGCATCGCTACTAGTAACAAGAAGCTGTTAGTGACAAGTGCATCGCTACTAGTAATAAGGTGCTGGACGCTGGACACTTTGAGACATGAGAATCCAGATTCCACGGACGATTCCGGATTTCGGCCTGTGGAGGTCAAAGAGCTGGGCCCGGTCCTGCACTTGAACATCCTTTCAGAATTTGTGTGGAATTTAAGTTAAGCTGCCCGTTTGTTTGGACAGTGATTCTTTTGACGAACAGGATCATGAGATGTTGGTTTCAATGGAACTTTTAAATAGTTCTATAGCTTATTGCTGAAGCGACGTCGAGAGTTTTGCTTGGAACGACGGTGCTCTTAGCAGCGAGGTCATCACGGAAAGAGACACGGCCGAGTGGATGCGACAGATGTGTCACTCTAGCTGGTTTTGAATTTCGGAGTACTTTTTCACTTCTCACTTCCCATGAACTTGAAACAGACGGCCTATACTCACTCGAATTGCAGGCGAAGCTTTGAATCACCTGCACACCAAAGGCGTCGAAAGAGATGTTGATTCACTAAAATCATGTTTCGGGGTTCAACACCATGCCGGTTGCTTTGTGTGTATCGACTGGGTTTTGTGTACCAGCTCGCCCAAGTATAAGGCTTGCTTGATCTGAACCAAATGATTTGATAGGACCATTCACTTTAAGAACAATCGGCAGTAGCAGCAACGCCGCAATGCCCTTTTCTGCCATGCGACGTGCAACTTCTTGTTGAGCATGGCCGAGGTGCACTGAATAGAAGGAAATTGAGAGTGAGTGAATCGATAGAACTTGGAAACGAGTAGTACCGGTAGTACTTTGCCAACAGACGTCAACAAGGGATGGACATGAAAGACTTGATCAGACAGTTTGTTTTGGATGCAGTATATAATCCATTCAGACATGGTACAGATACCGATTGACATGTTTCCAATTTAAAACGCATTGTGCAGTTTGTTGCAAAGTACCCAGGGTGAACCACGTGGGTTTGACATTTCTCCGCGGACCATTCGGGACGGTGTAGAGCTGTTTCCTGCCTCAGGCATTTGCCATAGAGACATCAAGCTGCCTGGCAAAATTTGTCTTTCTTGGCACTCAATTGGGTTTTGCAAACCTGCAGGTAAAACCAGTTGAAGGGAAAAACCCTGTGCAGCTCGTAGACAAAACGGTGCTTGTGGAGCTCCTTAGATGCCTTAGATGATTTTAGTTATTCCTTGCGCATTCCCAAGGCCTGACAACTTCATGGTCGCTGGCGCAGGGGCCTTAGCAGTCTTAGGCCTTGGTCTTGTTCGCTTGGAGAACGGCCATGACTTTCCCCACGAGGATAGTGACCTGAAATTGGCCGACTTTGGCTTGGCGGTCTATGTTCGCCAAGGTGACTTGCGGTTTTGAACACTGCACCGGTTCAAGTCCCGAAGCTACTAGTAACAAAGGGCATCGCTACTAGGAGCAAAGACGCTACTAGTAGCTACTGGCCATACTACTAGGAACAAGAAGCTACTAGTTTGCCTTGCTTTTGATTTGATTTGATTGATCGCAGATTTGATTTGTGCCTTTGCAGGCGGTATACTGACCGACAAGTGTGGTACCCCTGCCTTCATGTCGTTGGGACACCCGGAAAAAAACGCCCGGAAACGCTCGGTTGCTGAAACACTTGTTGAAATTTGAACCGTTTGCCATTTGCAAGCGCATCCAGGAACACTCCACTGTATACTGGCTCTTCATGACTCTTTTCAATGAAAGTTGTTTGAACCAAAGACTGATTTAAAAGAGTAGATAATGGTAACAGTAAGAGGCTATGATGAGCGCCGTGTGAACTCCCGCGACCTCAATTGCCCATGGCAAGCTGAGAGATTTTGTCAGGCCAGAGATACACTTGATGCCGGTGCACAGCCGGGGCTATGGCTTCCCTTGCGACATGTGGGCAGCTGGTGTGTCAATGTGCGCAATATTGCACAATGCAATGTTGACAGTCTTTTTTTGTCATGATTGAACCGGCAACCTTCAGCAGGTCATTGCCACATTGCCTCATTTTGCCTCACCTTCCCGCTTTGGACAGTTTCATGGGTCCCCAGATGATTGGCATGTTGGCGTCTTTAATATGTATTCTGTCAGTGAAAACAGCCGCAAGTATGGTGGTTTCAAGATTTGGGGCAGAACATCTCAGTATTTCATGTACTTTCGAGATTGACCGTGTTCAGATCTGTGCCCGCAGCCGGTTCACATCGACCAAAGACGGAGTCGAACATCACGCCGATCGGAGCCGACCTATCGCGCAGCGAGCGGAAGAATGGGTGGCGCTTTCTGTCGCATTTGCTGCAACCGACCGTCGGAGAGTGGCGATGCCTTGGATTCCCTCAACAAATCTTGGCCTGAAAAGCAGACTGAGGACACAAGACAAAGCTCGACAAAATCAGCCAAACTATGTGAAACTTCCTTCATTTTGCTCATGCTACTCATGTTGCTTGGAAGATGCTGTACCAAAATGTGTGCCCCACAGAGTCTACAGAGCAACCTTCCCTGAATCCCCCCTCTTCGTTTTTCTCAACGATCTGCTGCGACCGTTCGGAGGATTTTGTGAAACTGGCGGCATCGTGCCGAGATCGTCTTTGGGACTGCAAGTGGGTGCACACAAAGTCAAAAAAGATCGGATTGTACCAAGAACGTTCTTCAGCCCAGTTGTTCGATCGGAGCCCTTTCAAAGTTGATTGTTATCCACTTTGAGTCCATTGCATGGCTTTCTCCTGTGTCTTGTGGTCTTGAGGCAACTACGTGAACTTCATGATGTGTATGACTTTCTCTGGCTTTCCGAAGCTGAACCCTGGCGAGCGACAGATACCATTTGAAGTGCAAAAGTCGCCCATCGTTGAAGGACTTGGCTTATTGGAGCACAGCCAAAGCAATACCCCAGAGACCATGAAGCAGGCGGGGTGCTGACCATTCCTTTGCGCTGTTCATGAATCAGTTATTTGTAAGACAATACCAGGAACTACATGCATGGCGCCAACACAAGATGGGAACGACAAGTGTAATTACATATATAAATCACACTCACGATCCGAAGATGGACCCAATCTGATGTCCTGCTTGAAACTCCGGCATGTGAGACCAACATGTTCACTTTCATTCATTGTTTATTTTACTTTTTAGTACCATACCTATATAAGTATGTACACTAAAAAAACGCTCGCTTAACTTCTCTGGCCGGGGGCATGCACGCTGGAAAATGAGGACATGGTACGCTCGAACCGAGGGTAGGTAGACAATCATGCCCTTCACAATCATGAAAACAGATTCTCTCGTCTCCCATCATACTTTTGCATGCAGCACCAGGTTGCTCAGATCTTGAGCAGCAGCAAATCTGCGACCTGCCAGCAATCTGTCCAGTGTTTGCCAGGGAGCAAGACTTGTGGAGGCACGTGTCAAGCTGTTAAAGTGCTGGAAACTTGAAGGCACTCGAGCCAGAGCCATTCCACTACTGACTCCTGTGAAAGGTTGGCACATGACACTGAGTTGTGGCCGTGATGAGGTCATTGTTGGCTCTGTACGGATGGGATATGGTCACCATCGCATCGCTTACTCAGCCCTGACTTGGGCATTGGAACTTGGAGGGAAGCCCTTCCTATTGGAGACACGGCCAAGGAATCACAAGGAGGTTTTGCCGGGTGATTTTGATTTCATGATTTCGTTCGTGCTGATTGTCGTTGTTAGGTGGGTTCGGGCCCGGGCCCTTTTACAAACAGGGATGTGCAAACTGATGCTTTGGCAAGCCACTGACCACTGAATCATGTTTTCGTGTAAATTTGAAGCAGTGGGGCCGGTAGTTGTGCCCATCAGCCTATCCTTGTCTAAACATTGCATGTTTGAATCAAAAGGATGGCCAGCACAGTTGGAATCGATGACTGCACGTCACATACCCACTGCTGCAGCACAATAGTCGTTGACAGATCCACCCGCTGCAAAGGATATCCTTTCTCCTGACTGTGTGGAAGCTGCAGTGGTGCGCAACATGGACAAGCGCCATGTCTTTGATCTGTGAATATCAGACGCTAAAGAACTATATATAGATTGTAGGCTTGGATAGACCTGGTGAACGTACATGTGTTGTATGCATGTGCACTCTTCACTTCAACTCTTGAAGATGTGCTTGTAACATACCTACCACAAACAGCTGCGTCTCCTTGCATCCTTGCATCACTAGTATGAAGCGTGTCATTTTGGAAATAGAGACAACATACGTTTATACGCCATGTTTCCCGGAGCTGCTACAATTTTAAAGATAAAACTGTGTCGAGCTTTGGGCAGGTTTGGGTGCACAGTCTTCATTACATTTGGTACACTGTCCATTTTGGCTCAAGCCAAAAGTGGGACAGTGGAGTTTCTGTTCTGCTAATTTTTGCGGTGTGTGCTGTGGATGACTTCACAGCCTATCGTCGGTGTGCATGTCGCCATGTTCACGGCTGCTGAGGTGCTTTCGTCCGCCGCGTTCATCGAGTTCCGTCGCCAGGTCGATGCCCTTTTGGCCCGGGGGGACCGGGCAGGCGCGATGCGGCTTTGGAGCTCGGTGGTTCTCTTCGAGCACATGCCTCCGTCTTCACGCCCGGGGGACGGGCCAGCTGGTTTCCCCCCTATGCGGATCTCAGTGTGTCCTAAGAGTGCCTGCCCACGGTGCGATCAGGGGCGAGGGGGCTATGTTTTCCCGTGGGTCGGGATTTGGAACCGGCGCGGGACGATCGTGCCATCCGGGTTCACCCCTCAGCAGGCCTGGGATAGGCATGCTCTGTTGGACGCCAACATGGATCTCCTCTTGTTGCAGCCCTACCGTACCCCGTACTCTGCCGAAAATTTTGTGCCCTCCTACCTGTGGGAGTTCCAGCAGAAGGTTCCTGGGGATTTTGACCTCTTGCCCCTGCAAACATTTCAATCTGAAGTTCTCTATTATATGCGACACTGGATCCTGGGATCACCACATGGGTTGTGGTCCAACCCCTTTCGTGCCCCACTGCCAGATCTTGTGCATCTGCCGCGCCACCTGGAAGCTCTTCACCCGAAGATTCGTGCCCATCGAGCCCTTCGTGGATGGTTGGGGTCCTCAATCAACGGAGAGTCGGAGTTTCCTCCAGCGTGTTGCGGCTGTGGTGATCCCACTTATCGGCAGTGCCTTGGTTGTATCAAAGGAGTGTGTTCCGCCTGTTTCCCAGTGCTCCAAATCTGTCCGGTCTGCCGCGAACTTTCGTCGTCTGATGACGATAGTGGGTAGTTCAGCGGGTGCGCAAGCCATGGTGTACCGTGCACAAGTCGCTGGAGCGGTGGACGCTCCGCCGGACGAACCGGCTCCGTCCTCTGGTTGGCGAGCCGAAGACAGCCTTGCTAGGGTGGCAGGGTCCCGTGCCATCACATGGCGCCGGGAACGGGGCTATGAGAAAGATGAGGACTTCGCCTTTGCCTTCTCTACCTGGGAGGAAGCTGTGGCCGTGGGAGGCCATTTCTTGGCGGACGCTTGGCTCGCAGTCCGGGTTGCCCAGCAGGATGAGCTTCTCCCGGCGGCGGCGCGCTTGCTTGAGGGGGGTCCCCTGCTGCCGGATACACGTCCTCCACTGGTTCGCAAGCGGAAGGAAGTTCCACTTGAGGCGAGGGTACGCCTTCATGAGCGGGTGCAGGATCAGCCCGAGTCCATACAGCGCCAAGTGTTGGCCCTGCAGAAGGTGTTCCTGACCGTGGGGGCGTTGAAGCCGGTTGGCCTATTGACTGAGGCCCTGAAGCGGGATTGGCAGGCCTCCGTCCTTCGCTTGGCCCAGACCAAAGTGGCGGAGTCTGAGTCGGTGACGATTCAGAATGCTCTCCGCACCTATGGGGAGCTCCACGCCTTTTTGCTGGACTTTGTGGACATGGACAACTTCCTGCATCAGGGGACGATGGCCCCTACCCGCGCGCTCAATGCGCTTCGTTGGCTGTGCAAGCATTCTGGAGCTCCTTGGGAAGTGGCCCGGCTTCGTATCTCTCCGGAGCTGAAGAAGAAGGCCACTTCTACGAAGAGCCAAGCCCTTGTTGTGGAGCCTGGCATGCTGCAGCTGTTGGAGGAACGCATTGAGAGCATGTGCCGTGGGGGGGACCCGCGTTGGACATGTCTTCTCGGCTCTTGGCTGGTGGCTACAGGTTGCTTGCGATACCAGCATCTTCGCCGCTCAACCGTTCGTCGCATCAGCCCACTCGTGTTCCACGGCCACTGTCGCAAAGGCAAGCAGCGTCATGCTCGTGGCGGCTTTTGATTGGTGTGCTCCAGCCGAGTTTGCCTCCACCTTCAACTGGACTGTGGAGTGGCTCAAAGCCTGGAAGGCTCTTTCTCCGGTGGCCCAGAAGAGTGCAGGGATCTGCTTTGACGGGCGTGGGACGCCTTGGAACATCGCTGAGGTTCAGCACCTATGCCAGTCGATCTTTGCCGAGTTCCTGGACAATACAGAGCAGTTGACCACCTACTCTTGGCGACGAATGCTTCCCACAGTGGGCCATATTCTGAATTTGTCGTCGTCTGATCTTTGCTCCCTCGGCGATTGGCAGGACAAATCCAAAGAGCCGGCTGAAGCAGGGATGGCATTGCACTATTCGTCAGCTCGGTATGCCCAGTCCCTTCGCAACAAGATCCTGGCCACTTCAGTGGCCCACAGCTGTGAGGGTCACAGCTTTTGTGAGGAGGTGCTTCCTGCCGATTTGGATGGTTTCCGCGAAGTGGCCAAAGACGCGCTTGCCATGGCCATCGCGAAGGACAAGGAGACGAGGTACGCGGCTCAGCCAACCAAGGAGTCGCTGAAGACGCACCTCCAATTCTCCAGGGCCCGAGTCGCTAAGGCAGCGGCAAACAAAATTCGAGGAAGCACCTCGCGCCAGACGGTATCCATGCCGGATGCCATCCGAGGCCGCGTGCTGACGGCTTTCTTGAAGAATGGGCGTCGCCTTTGCGGGGCTTTCCAGATGCCCGAGGGGTGCGCAGAAGGAGAGGAGGTTTGCGGGAACGCTCACCTCTGCGCTGTTCTTTTGGCCCGGGGGCGGGCTTGTGGCGGGAGCCACGGTGCATTTATTTGCACCGAAAAGAAGTACTTGCCGGCCGAGACGCCAGTTCCAGTTCGTGCGGCGGCGGCATCAGCTTCTTCTACTACGTCCTCAAAGGCCAAACCCTCCTCGAGAGCCAAACGCCGGCGAGCGGAATCGCCCCAGCCAAGTGCTCGGCCTGATGCAGCAGAGGCCCTCTCTCCAAGGCCCAAGACGCCTCCGAAGGCACCTCCATCCAAGGCGGTTCCGCCCAAGTTGATTGCAACGTCGGCCAAGAAGAAGCCGCGAGGTCCGCGGGATCCCTCGCCTCCACCGCTGGCCAGAACGCCTCCTTGGCGACAGTCTTCAGACCCAGCACCGAGCACCCTGCCTATTCCAGCAGTGTCGCCAGGACCTCAGCAATCTCACTGTGACCGGTTGGCCACCTCAGAAGGGCGTGACACTCTCGCCCCAACCCTGATCATGACAACTCGGTCAGGTGGCCGGCTGTGGCTCTCCGGTATTCCGATCGCTGAGACAGTGCAACATTTCCCGAAGGCTCACCTCCAGATCGCTTGTCTACCACAATACCCCGAGGGTCGGGGGGGCGTGTCGTTGCCGGAGGCATGCGTCATGAAGGTGCAGATGGGCAGCAAGCGCATGGATCAGGAGTTCAAAGCGGCATGGCCTCTCATCCACCAGAGCCTTCACTGTGGTGATTCAGTGCTTGTGCATTGTATGGCGGGCAAGCATCGGGCTCCTGCCTGCACAGCCCTCATCTATGCGCTCATGATGGGCACCTCCGTGGATGAAGCAGCCGAGAAGATCACCAAGATGCGGCCTTGTGTGGAGTTCCACAAGTTCTGCAGGGATCGCACGGCGGCACAGTGGCTTTATACGACGAGGCGCACTCTGTCGTTGCCACCCGTACACCCAAAGCCTGCTGGCTATCTTGCTTCTGAACGTTCCAACATCCACCTGTGCACGGAGGGCCGCATCGCTCTGTGCCACTTCAAGCAAGGCGAAGCTCGAGTTCAGCAACGGCTCAAAGACGCCCACTTCTGCAGCAGCTTCATGGAAGCAAGTACGTTTGCCCGTCCGGTGTGCGGACCTTGCTGGAGCAAAGCCCCAGCTTCCTGGCAAGCGCGACACTGAGCTGCTGAGCAGCCGTCCAGCCTAGTGATCGCCGGACGGTTGCGCCCCATAAGAGCAGGCGGCCTCCGTAGATGCCCCTTTTTGTAGACTACGTCACGTGTAGACTACCGAGGCGACCGGAGAGCGCGCCACCAGCGGAAAGAAACCTGAGTGTCAGTGACTCTTCTGCTGTGCAGTTTGCCATTTGGGGGGTCATCCCCAAGTCAGCAGGAGTGCTGTGTGGCCCGGAGGTTCCAGGCCTTTGACACTAGAGCGTAACGGCGACGCAGCGTCCATGATTTGAGTTTCATTTTCGTTCATGTGCACCTAGGATCTCCGCCTCGCCAGCTCCTTTTGGCCGACAGAGGCGAGGTGGGTCCTCGTGATACCACTTTGTGAGGTGGGTCCTCACTTTCCGTAGGGAGGGTCCCTGTGTCCCCACATGGCGTCTAGCTTGCAACTCGTGCCGAGTGACGGTGCGGATGCTGCGGCTACTTTCCGCCAGTTGGGGATTAACTTCAGCATAGCTGAAGCCGTGACCGATGCCTTGGTCAAAGCCCGGCTCCAGAACCTGGAGGAGTTTCGCTTCTTTTTCGAGAGTGAGGACAAGGTCCAACCCTGGTTGGCCAAACTCTCCCTGGGCGAGGATGCCGGTCTTCAGGGGGGCGAGGGTTCATCGGGCGTGGGCCGCCGTATCGCTCTACTTCAAACAATCCGAACAAGATCGGTCTCGCATCTCGGCATCTGATCTAGATGCATTGTTGGGCGACTCCGAACTTCGGGATTTGAAGAGTGCCTTTTGGCGTCGCTACAAGCTGCGCTTTCCCCCTGAAGTTCACCCGGCCGACGCCACGATTTCTCGGGTTAC